AACCTCTTTCAGCAATAAAAATAATGAGAAAAAAACCTCTTCCAACAATACTTATTATTATTCAGCATCAAACACAGATGGTGTATACACCCCAGATCATTCTGATTATTCTGGGTCTGATGATGAACACTCCACATCACCAGGTGATACCAGTTCTGAATCCTCTGAAGGGGACAATACACTACTTGTTTTCTCCTGAAGATAAATGCAGCAAGAATTTAGTCAAGCCCCCCCGCCTTCAAAAAGGTCACAAAAGTCCAGTAATCATAGATATCCTTTTGCAAAATCATGGAGTCAAAATTTCACCTTAAACTTCTGCTTTTAAGTAAAATGAATGGTCTCTGGAGGTGTGGTCTTTATTGGGCTCCTATTCCTGCTCCACTATCCCCTGAATATAAGACTCAATTTCATCATTGCAGTCCAAAGGAACAAATCTCAAGAAGATGCAAGTGCATTTATATAAGGAGACTGGCAAGTGGGCTTGTAAAAGACATCTTTATCAGTCTCTAGGCCCCAATCACATTTGGGCTTGTGATGGGTATGAAAGGTTGGATCCACTTGGCATCACAGTCTATGGATCTGTTGATGCTTGTTCTCAAAAGATCTTAGGCATGTTTGTTCATATTACCAACAATGGCCCTTGCCATGTTGCTTGCTACTTTCTCTATCTTACATCAAAGGCTGGTGGTGGAATACCACTCAAGTTAAGTAGTGACTATGGAGCTAAAATAGTTGATATGGCTTATAAGATCCAGATGCGCCTGTCTCATACTTACACTGGAATTGCCACTAAAGAAGTAGAGGATTGCCTGCTTCACCAAATTACTCACAATCAAAAAATCGAATCACTCTGGTCTCAAATGATGAAACAACATACCCAATTGATCAAAAAAAATATAATGAATGAAACTGAAAGGGGATGTGGTTGCCAGAGGATGGTGTTCAAAAGTATTTTCCTTGCTCTTTCCTGCTCTTTCCTACATATCACAATAAAATAAGAATCTGATTGATTTTATTCCTGTAGTGTTTCAAAAAAGTGTTGATATTTGGGTGGATCCATACAATCATTACTGAAAACAACTTGATACCCCAAATTTGCTCACAGCAATCCAGAATACTTTACAACAACCATTGAGTTAGCTACAGTGACAAGCCATGATATTAACTTGTTCTTGGAAAAGGAATTGTTTCAACACACACCTCCTGAAGTTCATGCAGTTCATTCAAGAGTTATGGACCAGCTAGGTTATGATTTTTCTAGTATGGATCTTCAAAATGTGTGGCTTGTTTTTTGCCACATGCTACAACTAATCCAAGAGGAGTTTAGTCCTTGTAACACATCTAAGAAATCTTTTGAGGACAGATATTCTAAGAACAAGGATTGAGTTCCACATGAGATCTTGGACTATTCAACTTCTCTGTCTGATTCTTACACATCTACAATATCCCTTTTTGCCAGTTGATTCACTAAACATATCTGCTAGATGACTTCCTGTCAGCAATTGCAACCCTCACAGAATTTGATTTACACCACAAAGGTCTTCTTCATTTTTAGCAAAAAAAAAACTTCTTCAGAAGCCTTGCAGTGAAAGCTCTCATGTGAGCTAGTCGGGGTTATGATTAGAGTGTTGTTAATTTAGAACTGAGAGGGGTCTAAAAAACACTCTAACTTGTGATGTGAAGTCTTCCATTAGCTCTTACCATATCTCTAGAGTCCATGGCTTGATTTGTAACAGACTTCCTTTATGATTCTGAGTTCTTTCAATCAACTGCTTGCCAATTGCAAATCATTGAGACCATATCACAAGTGAGCTCACTTACAAATTGAAAGAAGGTGAACCTATTTGAAAGAATATCTTTCAGTGATTCCAAAATGGATTTGGTGAAAGATGATGTAGATGGGTCAGGACACGGTGGCATATAAACTTTCCACTACTACCCTTGCTTGCTCAATCCAACCATATGATACACCTTTTGTCCAATTAATTCCTTGAAAACATCAAGAGAGCAGCTCTCTCCTGGACATTGAATTGGTTTCACAATGTAAGCCTGGTCTTCCCATTCCATCACCCTAGTACTTCTTTGGAAATGTGAAAATTGGAAATGTAAGTTATTTGCAATGATGTCAGAATCTCAGTATGAACAATCAAGATAGACAACGGAATGTGAGAGAACAAGAGAGAAAAAGTCTTAGTACCTCAAGAGCAAGGTACGTAGGTAAGAGGACAAAGTATGAACAAGAAGTAGAACGTGAAACAAGTTTGTAGAAGAAAAAGAAGCACAGTGTGCTAAGGACAGAAGTGAGACCAGAGAGCAGAAGAGAGCTACAAGAAAGAAAAGACAGAAATACAGAACAAGATTGTTGCAGGTCTGTGTGGTCTGTGTGGTGGTGATCTGGATATTGAAGTATTATGGGAGGTTTTGTGGGAAGATGTTAGTTTGATGTTAGTTTGCAGATGCTGGACACAAAGGTCAAGGATGGTCAGCCTTTTATCATCATGCAAAAAATTTTCAAGAAGTTTGAGTCAATTGGTTGACCATAGACTTGGGAAGATTGTACTGATGAATTCATTAATGAGATATTTTCTTGTAAAGAAGTGTTGCTATGATGAATTAGGGGATATCAAGTATAGGAAATCCACCATTTGAAACCAGTCACTTTTCCCAAACCTTTTTATTGCATCAATGGGCCCCAAAAGGGGTTAAATTAATAACCAACACATTTAAGAAAGGGTAGTTTTTTTTCAAACCAGTCAATAAATAATGGTGGACTTGGTTATGTTTGATACCCCCTTTTTGGGGCATTGACTCCCTCCCCCTTTGGGGTTTCAATTTTTTTTATTTAAAATAGTTGGGGATCGGACTCCCAAACCTGCTGACAGGTTTGGGGGATCAACTCCCAAAATCAGGGGTTTTTGGGATTTGGGAGTCAACTCTCCAACTTTTGGGAGTTGATTAGCCAAGCCTCTATCTTTTTATTTCATAATCATTATACTCCACCTCCCAGCTATCCTCCCCACCTTATTTTGTATTTTTGAAAAAATTAGTAAAGAAAACAAAAAAACGTGGTTTTGCTGCGGCACAGCACACGCGGATTCTGCGTTTTGATGCGGTTTTTTATACAATTTTTTGCGGCTTATTTTTTATGATTTTATGATTTTTAAACTTTTTTCCTACACTTTGAAAGGTGTAGAACTTAATGGTAAATCATTGAGATTTTGAGCTCTTGACCGGCTGAAGTTGAAGACTTGAGAAAATGGCACAACAAAGCAGGGGTCCTTTTTTGCGAAAGGTTCACGGAGAATGAGTGTAAAGAACCAATGTTTTCATTCACATGTAGCAAGTCTGACTAAATAGACTACGTACATGTGTTCAAACTGTGGTTGAGAGAAGATGAATAAAAACTAAGAGACAAAAAATCTTGAGGTCTTGGAAGAATGATTCATAGCAGGACTTCTCAATCTCTTTTAGTCAGGCAAGAATTGTTAATCAAGGAAAATCAGAATTCTATCAAAAATATCTAGAGGCGTTAATTCTAAATGATTAGTTTTTAAAGAATCAGATAGTGACCAGAAAAAGAAAGAAGTCAAACAATAAGACTAGAGTTGCTTGAAGAAACTTGCTGTGATGAGTTCTAATTAGACTACAAGAGAGCATAAGATTCAATGCAAAAAACAGCCATGATTGACTATAGTTCAGTCTGAGTCAAGATCACTTAAGAAGAGAAAAGGAGGGTGATTTTAGGGAAGAGTAGGCCAAAGAAGTGAAAATTCAACAGCCTGCCTTGTTTCTTCTTCTGCCCCTTGATGTACTCAAATCCAGAAGGGTCCCTCTTGGTTGAAGATGTTGATTTGTGTTTCCATTTGGAGCCTTTGGGTTGTCCCTTGAATCAATGATTCTTATCAAAATTGGGTTCCTTGAGTGGAATAGTTGCATCTGTTCCATGGAGCAGTTTGTTAATTTTGCCAAGCATGAAGTGTTGTTTGCCATGTTGAAGGGATTGGAACTTTTCAAATACTTTGCTGAGGAATATGTCCTTGTTTTTCTTCCTTGGTGTCTCCATTGCGTCTCGCTCTTCACTGAGTTCCACATGTCAAATTAATAGAAGAATGGACAACATCAATCAGAAAACTCATGCAGATTTTGTTTGGATTCTCCTGATGCTAATCAAATAAGGCACTTACAGCTACATCAGTCTTGATGTGCCACTGTGCATGGAAATTATCTGACGTGAACTTTGTCCCCTTCCGTTGTGGTAAATAATACTGTGTTTCTAAGCAGAAAATAAACATTTCTTATTATCTATTTATTCATTCAAGATATGGTACAAATGACATCAAAAATGGAATCCTCAGGTAAAATAACCCCTAGTCACTTACTACAACCATACCTTTATCTCTTATAGTTCAGAAGTTACACATATTTCAACCTGTCACAGAATATTTCTTGGATTCTTCACTCTAGCCATAGTCATTATGAATACAGGATGCATATTGCATACTGAATATCTTTGTAGTAAATTGAATACCTTCACGTCACATTGAATCCCTTTGTATTAGTGACATTGCATGTATGCATCCCTCTGATCATACATATGCACCCCTTTATTCATTCATATGCATCCCTTTGTAGTAGTATCTCACAGCCTGTACCCTGGGGCCAACATCCCTCACATTTGTCTATATAAGGAGGCCTCCGCCTGCCAGTTGTTCCCTCCATCATCCCACCAGTGCACCAGATCATCTCAAACCTCTAACTCAGATGTCACACTCCCTTCTTAGTCTTCATTTTTCCAGTTCCCATTCCTGGCTATGCAGAGATCTGCTCCTTCCATCTCTCCAAGCCAGGTGAGTTCTATTTCCCTTTCTTCTTGTTTTCTCTCTTTCTAGATTGTACTGAGAGATCTGCTCCTTCCATCTCTCCAAGCCAGTAATAAAAAGCTCCCTGTGTTTGGTCTTAGAAAAGTCTAGGCTCACTTGCCCGCCTCACGCGCCAATCCACTACTCATCTAGTGAAGGACATTCACAGTCCTTACAAGAGTATCCGGGGGCGTTGGGGTATACTTTCTTAATCACATTTATGACTGCTTGTTCATGGTTGGTGACAATTACTGAGGGTGAATGATTATCCATTGCTAGAAGAAGCTGCTCCAGGGCCCACATATAATTTGCTTCCTTTTTGGCCAAGAGGAAACACATAGCAACAGTGAACAACCTATTACAGGAATTCATTCTGACGACATGCAGCAGGGGCATGCGGTACTTGTTTCTTCTATATGTGCAATCAAGGAGGCTGGTTGTCAGGAATCTTTTGACCAAATTGAGCAAACGGGGGAGAGCAAAAAAGAACAAGGGCATGTGAACTTCAACACTGTCCATCATGAAGCACAATTGGTGTTTGAGGATTTGATGCTGTTGGAGTAGTGCTTTCTCCTTGTTTGTTTTCTTTCTTTCTCCTTTCTGTGCTTCACACCTTTCACTGTTCTTTTCACATACATGTCACATTATTTAGAGTATACCTGGGTCAGAGCACGTGGAAGGATTCCTCTCCTCATCCTTCCACAAACCTCTCTCTCTGGCCCAGGTATGTTTCCATCTGTTTCTCTTCTTTCTTCTTTCTTTCATCTTTCTTTTCTTTCTGATGCTTTGTGTCTCTCTCTTCATTTCATGAAATGAACTAATCCTTCCACAAACCTCTCTCTCTGGCCCAGTTTTGTCCAACAGGTTATGAGCACCATCGTGCAACCACTGCTGAATCTCTGAGGTACTTACAAGGATCCGTAAGCTTGTCGTTAAAGCGCATATTGAATGAACTCACCACCCTCACCATTTATTAAACCGGAATATACTACTTCGACCACTCCAACGGACGAACCACTCGTCCCGTATCATTTTTCCAAATCTCGGCTTTCAATCATGTCTTCAACCGTCGATCCCAAGGCCAACACACCTGCGCCGTCGTTGAACAATGATTCCGAGGTGTCCAGCCATCCCGCGTTGAAGATCACCGGAGTGGAACAACTAAAGCCACCGGGATCAGAATCCAACTACCTCGATTGGAGTTGGATTCTTGAAATTCACTTCAACGCTACAGACGTCGACTACGTTATCAACGGTGACGCTGAAGAAGCGAAGCTCAAACCAACGTGGGCTCGCGACAACAAAGCGGTGTAATCTCTTGCACCATCCACCCGACGAACATACGGTCCGTTCGTCATCTCAAACAGGACGCCCGGGGCCTATGGAACGCTCTCAAGAGAGCTCATCAAGACTCGTGGGCTGGCGGGGTTACTTACTGGCTCCGAAAACTCACCTCGTCCCGGATGCCCGACGACGATCTCCTGGCTCACCTTGAGGATATGGCGAAGACTTTCGAGCGTTTGAGCTCGCTGGTTACCGCCGAAGCCCCCTTGACCCCGAACGATATATACGCCTCGTCGATTCTCACCTCCCTGCCATCCGATTGGCTCGCGTGTGTATCGTCCATGATGAACGAACCCAGGATCGATCCTGACCGTGTCATTGATGCACTGAAGGCCGAACATCTTCGACGCAAGACCCGCTCTAGCGATCAAGCGGTCGTTGAATCGGCGGCGATTGCCGCGACGAAGGGGTCGTCTAAAGGAAAGCCCCCTAAACCAGGCCAACCCGTCCGACACTGTACTTTCTGCAACCTCGACGGGCACGATTTGAATCGTTGCTTTAACGTTGCCCGCCTCATCAAGGCTCACAAATCAAGCCAATCCCCTTCCAAGCCAAAGAAACCGACCAACAATCGATCGGGTCCCTCCTCCAGCAACACAAACTTTCCTGCTAAGGCAGGTCGCACCTCCGCTGCAGTTCTAATCGATCACCCCCAAGGTTCCGGCGATGAGTCGGACTTCTCAGGATCTGATCTTGAGATCAGGGCAGGTCAAGCCGCGATCTCTCTATCTTCGTCGCTTCCCTCTGTACCTTCCGGTGACGCGAATTTGGACTCGGGCTGCTCCATCTCTATGACTCCCGACCCTAATGCTGTATCCTTGGCCAAGCCAAACAATACTCCTGTTCAACTGGCAGATCACTCTACCGTGGAAGCCACTCACAAAGGAATAGCTCGCCTCCCTCTCAAGAGCAACACCGCTGTGCCCACTCTAGTGGTTCCTGCCCTTGCGGAGCCTCTAATTTCCATCGCTGGCCTGTGTGATTCCGGTCTCACTGCGGTCTTTACTCCGGACTCGTGTGATATCTACTCGACACACGACACGAAGATCTCAGGTTCTCTTGTAGGCCGAGGGTACAGACGTGGAAATCTATTCTATCTCCCTTCTCAACCAGTGGGTTCTCAACCATCGTCGTCTCTCACTTTAACAAATAAAGTTGACAATACCCTCTTGGGCTATCATCACCGTCTCTCTCATATAGGGCTCCAGTCTCTGAAGGCTCTTCTCAAATCTCAAAAAATAACTCCAACTGTCTGGAACGAAGTCGAGGTCCAACAGTGTGAAGTGTGTGTTAAGTCAAAGATGCATCGCCGTCACTTCAAGTCAAGGATGCTTTATAGGTCGCAAACTCCGGGTCAACTCATTCACTCGGATGTAGGGTCTTTTGAAGTAACCTCAAGGGAGGGCTACAAGTATTTTATTTCATTCATCGACGATTGTTCTAAATCAGTTTCCCTTTTTCCAATGAAATACAAGAGTGAATCTTTCAACTGTTTCAAAATCTTCCGTGCCTTCTTTGAGAAAGATGGCTGCTTCAAAATCCAGTCCCTTCGCACCGACAATGGAGGGGAATACATGTCGAATGAATTCAAAAACTATCTCACCTCCGCTGGTATTCATCACAACCCAGGCCCTCCCCATTCACCTCAACTAAATGGCGTGGCTGAAAGGACAAACCACACTGTTGGAAATCTTATTCGGGCTTCCCTCATCAGTGCCCACGTGCCTAAATCTTTCTGGACGGACGCGCTCCGTCATGCCTTCCACGCATATGACTCTTTTCCCTGCAAGACTCCAGTGGGTTTTAAGTCACCAGCCTCTATCCTAGGGAAACCGTTGGTAAATCTCTCAACTCTACATCCTTTTGGATGTCTCACCTACTACAAACTCCAAGAGGCGGATAGGAAGAAGCTAGATGTCAAAGGTCGGGCTTCAATCCTACTCTCTTATCTGGACGATGGTAACGGGTATCGCCTCTTGGATCTTGAAAGACGGACTGTAGTGAAGTCGACGGATGTATCATTCTTTGATTCAATCTTCCCGTATGGAGCTGATCTGACAGACACTCCGTCACCAGTGATCGTGGAGCTCCCTTGGCCAATAGACTATTCTTCAAGCCAGAAACCTCCTCCCTCTGCGGGTCTGCCTCCAACGCCTATTTCCAATTCACCGGTACCCACTAGGATTCCCACGCCGGACCTCCCACCCCTCAACATACCTCTTCAGGACCGGTTTGATCGACGGCTTACAGCTTCCATCCACGCCCCCTCCAACAATCCAAACAGGTCTCCAGATTCTCAATCCACATCAAGCCACCCATTACCCTCGGATGGAACCGTCCCGATTTCCCTTCCGACTCTTTCATCTTCACCTGCTCCTGCTCCATCAGTACCTGTCCCTTCATCCTCTCCACCCAGGAGGAAGTCAGGGCGTGAAAGGAAGGCTCCTGAACGTTATGGGAATTGGGCTAAGTCTACCAACGTGGCCGAAGACGTGGACACCCCAAAGACGTGGCGTCAACTTCTCAAATCTCCGAACAAGCTACGCTGGCTAAGGGCAGCGGAAGACGAATTTGCATCACTTCTAGGAATGCATACTTGGCGTCTGGTCCCACGTCCTGCAAAACGGAAAATAATCAAATCGAAGTGGGTCTTCAAAGTCAAGCGTCGCCCCGACAAAACAATTCAGAAGCTCAAGGCACGACTTGTGGCGATGGGCTATTCGCAGATTCACGGTCTAGATTATGATGAAGTCTTTTCTCCAACTCTTTGGCTGGAAACTCTTCGTCTTATTCTGAGTCTTTTGGCTATCCGCAAATGGAAAGGCCGTCAAGTTGATTTCAAGACTGCTTTCTTGAATGGTCATTTGGATCACACCGTCTTCATGGAGCAACCACCAGGATTTGAAGACCCATCTCACCCTGATTGGGTATGCGAACTGGATCGCTCTCTCTATGGCCTCAAACAATCACCTCGTCAATGGAACATTGAGCTTCATCGGGCCCTGCTTGATCTCGGCCTAAAGAACTCTGCATACGATCCGACACTGTATTTCAAGCTTGTTGACGGTAAACTTGTGGGGGCTCTCACCACACATGTGGACGATTTGGCTATTGTCGGAGAGCCCACCTACGTTGATGGTCTCATTGCGTCTCTTGGGTCGAAATTCAAGATCGGTGCAGACGAGGATCTCCATCATTTTCTCTCTCTTAAAATCTCACGCGACTTCCGTAACAACTTGGTTTATCTGAACCAGTCCCATTATATTGATGAAATATGTGATCGATTTCTTGGCGGCGCTCACACTTCGGTCTCCACCCCAACAGATTTGAATTTCAAAAATCTACGTTGCAGGCAGGATGGTGATCCCCCATCGAGTGGACCCTACAACCAAATCATTGGCTCTCTTCTTTGGGTTTCGCAATGCACACGTCCTGACATCTCCTTTGCCGTTAACAGGCTCTCTCAACATTTACGGGATCCCTCCGACTCCCATTGGTATGCGGCTGTGCGCATCCTCAACTATCTAGTTTCCACCAAAGATCTCAAGCTTAAGCTGGGCGGGGAACTCTCGTGCTCCGGTTTCTCTGATTCCGACTGGGCAGAAGACAGGGATGATTGCAAGTCCACCTCAGCCTACACCTTTAAGATCGGAGACGGTGCCATATCCTGGAAGTCCAGGAAGCAGGCGACTGTCTCACTCTCTAGCACGGAAGCAGAGTACAAGGCCATCTCTGATTCATGCAAGGAAGGCTTGTGGCTTCGCCATATTCTTTCAGAACTGCGACTTCGTCCCAGCACCGCAATTCCTATTCATGTGGACAACGAGGGAGCGGAAGCGCTGGCTAAGAATCCAGAACATCACGCCCGTACAAAACACATCCACGCACGGTACCACTTTGTGAGGGAATGTCTTGCGGATGGACAGATTTCTCTCCTTCATGTCTCAACCAAGGAAATGGTCGCCGACATGCTAACAAAACCTCTTCCTCGTGTCATGCTCGAACGGCATTGTCAAATGTTTGGTCTGGTGGCATAATTTCTCTTTTTTTTT